GTTTATATGAGGAATCTTTCTAGCCTTGAATCAGAGCCTGGACCGTGGTTCGGAATATCTTGAAGCCTGTTTTGTTGGAAACAGACCCAGATACAAGGCCAGACTTCAGGAGCTATGCCTTTTCCCTGCTTTTTTTCCTCTCTCTTGCAGAAAGCTAGGGTTCACTGGGGCCACTGGAAAATATTTGATTCTCTTGGATTTCCTGCTACTTTTGTGAGCACAGTACCTTGATCCCCTTCCTGACAGCTCTTCCCAGTTATCCTTCTGCCCGGATCTCCCAGGAGCCCTGCTGTCCTGTTCTCTCCCCTCCGCACATCAGTCCCGTGAGAATCCCTGTTCTTCAGTTCGGCCACTGAGCTGGAACCAGTTTTCTGCCATCCTCCTGCAGGAAGGATTAGGCTCTGCTTCACCTTCCCCTCCCTTACTTCAGACAGATTTTCCTCGATGCCCAGGGCAACAGCAAACACTATCTTTCAGCTTTGCTTTACATGTCCCAAGCTGCAACCCCATCTTGCTCCCCTGGTTAGATTTCCCTTCTTTCACAATGCTCCCTTTTAAATTTATTTTCTGATAAATCTCTCAGCATTCCTTGTGGTGAATACCAAACAGCAGTAAAACCTAACTTCCGTCGCTAATGCTGCCACCCTGACCTCCTTCCTGAACCCCAGTGTCTTGTTTCTAAATATATGATCAACATTTCCCTTGCATGCATTGCCATGGCCTCAAACCCCATTGTCTTCCCAACTAAGCTATTCCTTCCTTTCTGTTAATGGTATCACAATCTGATTCTTGTCTGTTTCTTCTACCCTTGTTCAATTAAATTACAAATATATAGATTCTACCCTAAAAGTTTTCTCCTTTTTTAATCCATTTCCTCTCAAGTTTCCTGGCACTGTCCTAGCAGATAGCCTGACTTAGTCTTTCCATTTTTGAGAGAGAAAGCTCACATATGCCTACAAGAACCCAATTAAGCCAGAGTTAACACTATAATAAGAATGAGAGGTTCAGCATTTCTGGAGATTCTACTTTAGGACTAAATGTTATTTCTACCAGTATTTTTGGAATGACTTAAGTTAATCCTGATAGGAATCTGAATGAGAATTAAGGTTTTGCAAGCACTGTAAAGAACAAATTATGTCAGGAGGTGATATAGCAATAATTTTAAGGGGAAAATATTCATTATTTTATCATAATCACTGAAATGTCAGTTCAGATCAATGGAAGCAATTGGGGTCTTATTATTTCAGTGAAGTATTGAGAGAAATAATAAGAGCGAATATTATGGTATGGGATAATTCAGCCCTGGATGTGTGGCCTCGGTCAGGTATCTTGTCCTCTCTGAGGTGTATCTCTTTCACTTACAAAATAACAGGATTAGCCTAGATATGCTTGCTCTCACTCTCTCATTCTCTCACTCTCTTACTGCCTCTTTGATCTCTCCAGAAAATTTCTGTTTAAATATTTCACATATTGGGCTATCCCTCTTGGTTTTAAAAAAAAGAATCTATAAACTAACCCCACCTCCTATCAAGCCCCCCCACATTAGCGTATTTTTATGGTTGGTTCCTGTGCTAAAGCCTAGGGTCTAAGTTCACTGTTATTTTTATTTTTAAATTCTCATAAAAATGATTACATACCTAGATCATCTTAAAACTCTTTTCCCTACATGGATTGTTGAAGAGTTTACTTGAAATAGCCAACTGTTCACATGTCTAGGGCTGGAGGAGACTCCAGGCTTGAGCGAGACAAGGATTGTGGCCCTTCTCTAATCACACTCTTGCCAGGTGTGAGTACGGGGGAAATCTCACCAGGTGTGGGTACGGGGGAAACTCTTGTTATTGACCTCGGAGAAAAGAGCTTCCCTGAAAATTTTCCTTCTTCCCTTTTCCTCCCACTGAGCTACCCTAGTACTTTATTTATCTCTTCTGATGTTAATTCAATTCAGCAATTGTTGAGTGCCTACTACAGGAAAGGCATTTTCTACATTATTTTTAATTATGTCCATGGCTAATTTCCCCTTCTGGATGGTCACCTCTTTGAGGGGAGCCTTCCCTGTCTCATCTCTTTCTTGCTCCTATCCCCAGTGCCAGGCACAATGCCTTGGGCACAGTTAATACATAACACACATTTTTGATTGAAAAAATGAAAGAAAAAAAATGGTGGAAATGAACACCCTTTTTTGAAGACCTCTTGATAAAAGTATCATTCAAAATTAGCAGCTATGATTAATTTGCTATCTGGGTTCTGTGCCACTTATGCTCTTAAAATTGGTATTATTTTGAGACTGGCCGTTCCTAAAACCAGAATGGTGAGGTCTAATGGTGGACAATATACCATTCATGATCTCCAAATCCTAGAGCATTCCTTTTCCCTGAAACACTAAGATACTGAAATTTCAAACAATTCCCTGAAAAATCTTGGTGGGTTGTGAGTTCATTGCAATTCTAGGTTTCGAGTCTTCTGATAGAGAAATCTGAGCACTCACAAAGTTATTATTAAGGACATTCAAGAACTCCATTATTAAAGTTAAATGTAGGAGCACCTGGCTGGCTCAGTCAGTAGAGCATGCAACTCTTGGATCTCAGGATTGTGAGTTCCAGCCCCATGCTGGCATCGAGCTTACTTAAAATAAGGAAATAAATAAATAAAGTTAAATTTAATTCACAGTTCAGGTATGTTTTTTGGTCAAATTGAAGACATTAGGTAGTTAGTATATTTCTCAAAAATACAGTGGAATAAGGATACATTTCACCAAAGTTTGCTATTTTCCTGATGTCAGATACAGATTGAGAATAAAAAGAAGAATGTACCATATGCTGTGTTCTCTATCCCACATCTGACCAGAAATAACATCACATGGAACCCAATTGTCTGGTTTTAACTACAACTTAAGCAAGAAATTTGGGCTGTGAAACAAACCCAAAGTTCTACCCAACTACTGTTTCCTGCCACTGAAACAGCCAATGCCAACTTTAATAGGCATCTCCATTAATTAAATGTTATTATATATATTAAAGGAGATATGTATATATATGTATATGTATATATATAGAGAGAGAGAGAGGAGAGAGAGGAGGGAGGGTGGGAGAGAGAAGGATATTCTTCAATTCAAAACAAATTTATACTTCTAAGTTATATGGGTTTTCATGGATTCACATTTCTGTGTCCTAGTATTTTTCTTGTTAGATGTACTGTAGTTTAAGAAATGCAATATTTTAGGACCTTCTTTTTTTTATCATATCATTAACCAACCAATTAATGATAAAATATAGTGATAAAATATGTGTCAGATAACTTTCATCTAAGTTATAAAGACTATACAGTACTGCGATCTGCTGTTTTAAATTTTAAAAAGCCAAAGACAGTGAGATATTGAGTGGTTAGTTGAAATATTAACCATATTTTAAGAAAGCATTAAAAAAGTAAAACAACAAAGGCAATGGGTTCCCAAAATTAGTATCAGTCAATTGAAAACTGAAAACGTCAATCAATTAACCAGCTCTATTATCTGTGCTTTGCCAAGTAGTCAATTTGACTGACTCTTCCAAATAAACTGAGTCCCAGATGTGAGGAAAATAGTTACATAATCGTTAGTCATTAAATTTCCAAGAATTATTCCTACCAAGTCTCAGTAAGGTTGCGTTTTATTTGGGCCTTAATGACAGTGAAGTTTTATGGGATCCACTTCTTTATATATTAATAGTAAAAATCATTCCAATCAAGAGAATCTGTAACTTAATGTACAAAAAAAGAGCACTCACAACAGAGAAGCGTGTGAAATGTCAAACAATAACCAGTTGAATGCCAAAATTGTAACCTTAGGCTAATTATGTTTAAAATGGATTTTGAATACATAGACTGATGATTCTTAAGTAGAAGATGGCAGACATTTTCACTGTTACTAATGTCAGTGTGCTTTACCTCTGAGGGGTGGATCTCTTAGGTATATTGGATGCCATTGAGAACCACTGGTATAAATAATGAATATACTTGCATTTAGCAATGGGGGAAGTAAAAATGATCTCTTTTTTTTTTTTTTAAAGATTTTATTTATTTATTTGACAGAGAGATAGCGAGAGCAGGAACACAAGCAGGGGGAGTGGGAGAGCGAGAAGCAGGCTTCCTGCCGAGCAGGGAGCCCGATGTGGGACTCGATCCCAGGACCCTGGGATCATGACCTGAGCCGAAGGCAGACGCTTAACGACTGAGCCACCCAGGCGCCCAAAATGATCTCTTTAATATAAAAATGTAGGGGCGCCTGGGTGGCTCAGTCGGTTAAGCATCTGCCTTTGGCTCAGGTCATGATGCCAGGGTCCTGGGATCAAGTCCTGCATCAGGGTCCCTGCTCAGTGGGGAGCTTGCTTCTCCCTCTGCCCCTCCCCTTGCTCATGCTTTTTCTCTCTCCCCCTCTCTCCCTCCGTCTCCCAAATAAATAAATAAAATCTTTTTTAAAAAAAAAAAGAACGTAAAAAACAAAAAATGTGTAAATTAAGAACTTTTCAGTGAGTCAAAATAAGATCTAATAAGACTATAAGTGTGCAATCATGTGTGTCATGAGTGAAATATTTGACCTTGATGATGGGATTAAGCTATCAGTAATTATATAGCAAGAAGGCAATGGTCCTGTGGACACTTCCAAAACACCTCAACTAAGTACCTGCAAAAACAAAACAAATCAAAACAACAACCACAGAACAACTACCATATTTCAAATGTATCTATCTGTTATTCACCAGGTTATCTCTATGATCAGCACAGTGGCTAGGACAGTCTTAAATAGGAAATACTAGGTGCTTGTTAAATATTTGTTGAATTAATAAATTGAATCAAAGCTGGGTGAAATTAATCAGTTGTTTCCATAGTTAGAATTTTATTGTGAATTTTAAAAACTGATAGCTTTTGGTTGCTCAATATTCCCTTGAATCTTACAATTAGAAACAATGGTGAGGTGACAAACAATATCTTGCATTGATCGCCCTGTTTTATTTGTGTGTTTACAGGCAAATGGACATAGTTTTGTACATATGGAACATGAAAAAGCTGTATTACTACTGAAGAGTTTCCAGAACACAGTAGACCTAGTTATTCAACGTGAGCTTACTGTCTAAATATTTTTTATAAATAGTGAAGATACATCTTAGCCAGACCTAATGTTCAAAAATAAATTTATACATAGAAACAAATTTTGCCAATTGCTGGACCAATGGCAAACATTAGTGCCAAATGTATAATACTATATGTTAGCACTGATCATCCTTAAAAATGTTAACTATATAAATATGATGTTCATGTGGTTATGTATTAGTTTTAATTGTCAGCCTCTGGCTGTGCATTGGTGCAGTTTTGTTTTTGTTTTTGTTTTGTTTTTTTTAATCAAATAAGTTTCTTCTCGAAGTGGATTTCATATAATTTCGGAGCACGGAAGCACATACAAGCTCTTTACAAATTCTGCTCTCCATCAAAAACACTGCCTCAAAGTTGTATATGCCTTTATATAGAAAATACAAATATAAAGAATTGTAATTCCCATAAAATATTTCTAGCACAGGTATATGTTGGCATATATACAAAAAGAATATAGAGAAAAACAATATTTTCATAAACTAAACATCTCGGATTGAGAAAGAAACTATATCTTAAAATAAGACTTTACTATATTGAATCTTTTTCAATAAAAAATTACATGATAATGCCTTATGAAAGTAACTGTACATATGGTATAAAGTGTTTATATTTGGTTCCATATTCATTTGCTAAATTCTCATAACACAGAGTGAAATATTTCATAAATTAGCCATTTATCTCTGGGACCGGACTAAAAATAGGACAAACTAATTTGTTCAATGCCTTTAGCTAATTACAATACACACAGAGTTAAGAAACAGACAAAAGGTCATTATAGATAAATCTTTTTCACCACAAATTTAAGCAGTGAATGATGGGTGGCAGGAAAGGTATTGCTTTATTTCTTTCAAGTTTATGTTGATTATAAACTGTAGCCCCTGTGATTTCTTTACTTGTAAATGTGGAATTTATTTGTGTGTTGCTTTATCTAATTTGCTACTTTTAAGAAATTTAAAATGAGTTTTGGAGATTGATAAAATTTATCATTAAGAAAGACCGTTGTTAGAAAGTTATGGTGGATGATTAAAAAACTTTGGTATTCAAATATGAAACTTCAAATATAATTTCTCAGAGCTGTGGTCTACCTGTATTGTTAATTTCAGTGCCTGTTTTGGGGGGCAAAAATAGAGAAAATACTTTTTTTCCAAAAATGTTTCAAAGTATAAAATTATGGGTTCTGTCTTACTGAAAGACAAGCATAGTTAATAGAGAATTCATTATTTTTACATTAGAATTGTTTTCCTCTATAAATGATCAAAATTCATTTTATAATCCTTTAAAATACTTCTTTTATATATTAGTCATTAATTTGATTAGAATATTAATTTAAAATTCCAGAATAATTTCCCAGAGTTGGTTTTATGCATGCTCTCTCATATTTCCACATAGCTCTTTATATATATATTATATATATATACTAGTATATATATATATATATATATATAGTGGATTTAGTTTACATGCTAGTGTTTCAAGTATTCTATTAGGATTTTCACAATAGTATCATATATGGATGTCACCAAAGCTCTGAGAGTAATATTTGTAAGTTAACTGTTTTATGGGGGACATTGAAAATACTGTATTTTTGTAGGGTCTATTAAAATGAGTGTCACTTATTAGAAGTACAGTGGTATTTTTTGGCAATAGAATTTGTCACTTGAAGGCAAATGATACTTCACTTTATAGATGATGCACTAATTTTGATGTTGCTTTATGTCAGGGTGACATTATACCATGATTTTATAGGGTTTGACATTTAGCAAATGATTAAATGATTGGCCTATTTAATATGTTTCCCAGAAGTAACTTTTAAATGCATTTTAATATATCGACAGTTTCTGATGAGAAATGTCTTTCAAGAGCCTAATTTTCTTTGTCAAAAACTCACACCAAACCATGGTACCACCATTTCCGGCTGCTATTATAGGATGATCATCATTAATCAAGATGGAGGCCCCCACCGGCCTCACAAGATCACTTAAAGGAAAAACAAACTCCCAGGTGTAGTTTGGTTGGCAATGGAGCATCTCAACTCATCCCATCAGTTTTGTTTAATCTCTTATGGGAGAGGTGGAAGAAGAGCCAGATAGAGGACCACCCAAGTCTCTTTTCTTATGTCAGGTTTCCACATCAGACCCAGGGCTTCAGGAGATGCTTCTGAGGCACAAAGCTAAAAGGATCATAGTAAACACCTCTTCCACTCCTGATGTGACAACAGTGTCCTGGCCCCGGGCTCTCATCCTTCCTGTACTACAGGAAAGGAGGAAAAGAAAAAGCGTTCCTGACCCACTGGAAAAGAAATCTGATGTTTCAAAGCACCTCGTTGTCAATTGTACTGCTGTGCTGCCTACTGAGAAAAGGCAGGTAATAATGAAAAGAGGCATTTTTTTTTTAGATTGATTGAAAAAAATCACTAATTACTTGACAGGTTAAAAAAAATTGAATTTATTCCATAGGTGATCTAAACCAAAAATACATTAATTTCCCAGTATTGACTTTTGGAGTAACTGGTTTTGCTCCCTGAAATTAGAATCTGGTTTATGTTAACCACCCCTCCCCACAAAAAAAAAAAAAAAAAAGTTAAAGGTGTGCCTTTTTAAAAAAGAAAATCGACGACAACAAAGGAGTGGAATTCATGATTCCAATAGACTCGCCTCTTGGTCTTTGATTTTTATTGAGATCTTCCTACTGAGGAAGTTGCCTCGATCTGGTGGATTAGTAAGACACAATGAAGGGGAATGGGAAAGATCAGGGTGGAAAGAATAAGCACTGAAAAGTATTGGTAGAATTCCTGCAGATTTTGCAAAGCCAAATAGACGTTAATGGACAATTTTTAAAACTACTGACATGGCTTAAAATACATTGCCCACAAAAGCTCTCTTATGATAATTCCTGGTTTCCAGACAATAGAAGTCACCTTAACAAACATAGTAATTTCAAAATATAGGTATACTTTTGACAAGGAATATTCAAAGTCAGTGTAACATACTTATATGTACATCATGCTAATTTATTGCTCATTGAAACCTATAAAATACATGTGTCCCAGTTAATTAAAACTGTTAGTTGCATAAACATCAAACAATCCCAGTTGTTTCTAGGTCTTACATTGGATTATCACTTTCAAGATGAAAAGCAGTTTTAAAGAGAGGATGACAAATCAGCATTAATTTGTTTTTAATCTTGAAGATGACAGCACACATATTATTAATATAATTGCTTATATAAAAAGTAGGACTGAGATATCTTTCAGCGGGTGAACTAAAGAGATAGTATACCCAGACAGAGGAAAATGAAGAAATTAGATTTGCACATTCAAATATTAAGTGGAAAGTATTTGAATTTGCCAGAATGATTAGATGAAGGGAGTAGGAAAACATTTTACTGTAAATCATCAAATCAAATATTTCCATGAAAATTTAAATATTTGGAAAACATAGTGTGTTTGTCAACTTGTCTTTTCATTGGCTTGTAATACTGCCCTCGGTCATTCTCTGCCCCCTCATTGGCACCCAGATCAAGAATGTCTATTCTGATGGATCTGCTGTTATCAAGAGGCAACAATACAGTGTACCCAGGTAAATAGGCATGCTGGTACAGGACTACTGCTCTAAGCCTTTGGTAAATTCAATCAGACAATATGTTTGACTGATTCTTGATATACTGACCAAACAGCGGGTTTATTAAAACACTGGGTCAGTAAAAAGTTATGCAAATAATGGACTCCAGTAAGTTAAGAAGATGGGTCCTTTATCTAGTATCGAGAAAAGCAGGGTCGAGTTCCCAGGAAAGTTCCTCTCACAGAAATGCTAAATCTTTCTGAGGCTCAATAAAATGTTCAAACACTGGGTTGGTGATGTGCCCTGTCTTATGGTTGTAGTGACCTGATCATCTGGGAATAGGGGTCGGGGGAGAAATCTCCAGATTTGAGATCACCTGCATGAACTTGTGTCCTTAGCAATACAACTACTTTCCATTAAGAAAAGCATCCTGCCTTGGCCCAGAATATTGCCCCATTGCTCAGTAAGACCGTTGCCCAGGTATACATGATAGCAAGAAAATACTATGTGGGCTGGGGAAAAACAGACATGCACTCTAGAAAGCACATGGGTTACTATTATAGGAGATCCTGGGTGTCAGCTCTCCTGTGCATCCCTTCAGCTTCATTCGATCTAAACTCTTCAGAGAATGTATTTTCTGAACACCCCACTGTACAAAACTCAAAGCAGATGAAGTCAAGTTGTGTAGCTATATTCTGAACTTTTGGGGGCCCCCCTTAGAGTTCTCATTGGAGACCCTTGAATATCTACGGATGGTTCCAACTTCTGGTTTGGGAAGAACTTCCTTAGGTGACCAAGGAACTTGGAGTACTAGCATTAACCCAGGTGCAAAAGTGGGGCACTTATGTCTCTGACAACAACAAACCAAACTTGTGTGCAAGGGTAAGGGTGGCAATGCCTTAATAGAACCATGGTTCCACTTCTGTTTTTAAGATGTTGAATTTTGCCATATTGACGACTCTCTCTAAGCCTGTTAGCTGATTGTTACCGGGACAGGTTCCAATCTTCCTCGCCTTTGACACTAACTACAAGAGAATGGTTTGGAAACACTCTCCTGTGAGGGTATAAATTGCACGACTTCTACTTTGGAGAATTCAGAGATTTCTGATGAAAAGTACACTCAACTTTTGATTAAAAAGAATAGATGAAAATCTAGGAATATTGAATTCCCCTGGACTCTTAACTATGTGATTATCATAATCTTCCCTGAGAGCAGTTTTGGGGGAAGTAAAGAGAGGAAAACTGAGGGGAGGGAAATAATTCACTGGTTCCAGCCTTAGAAGGTTTAGAAGCATTACTCCATCTGCTAGTGTTTCCCTAGTTGGATTTTGCTGTAGGGCAGTCAGCTCATACTTTGTAACATCCCACTGAGCATGAAGCAAGATAAGAAATGGGTCTGGATGTAAGACAGGCACCAAAGAGCAGGATATCTCTGCAGCTGTCCTGATATCTCCCCAGATTATGCTCCAAAACACCTTTTTTTTGGCCTAGTTTTGTTAATAGCAGCACCTCAAAGAGTGGAAGATTATGAAATCCAGGCAGTGTTTATGTAGAAAGCACTGAAATCCTGTGACTCTTCTTAGTCTGGTGTTGGAACCAGTGTAGGACTGACCCGAAGAAAAAGCCATGAGTCAAACTTTCACAAATATTATTTTCAAACCTAGCATAATTTTCAATGTGTGTGGGAATGAGTGTTGAGAAAAAGTTAAATAAATCATCCAATCTTTCTCTAGTTTGAAAAGTATATATATATTTTTCTTAAAACTATCACTGTTACACAATTGTATTATTTGTGCCAGGTGTTTGTTTGTTTCTTTGTTTTTCCGTCTTTAAAATAACATGAGTAAGCATCCTACAGTCAGGTCTCTCTGTACCTGGAGTAAAATATCCTAGTACAGAGACTTTAATTTTCATCAGAAAACTCCATATTCACTCCACAGGAAAACAATTCCTATAGCTGAATCTCAGATGATTAAGGTACGTCGTTCAAAATTCAAAACATTTGGGGGCATTTTATTGAAGAACATAATGAAAACAGTAAGTGCAATGTCTATAAATATAAATATTTGTTGAGCATCAACTATAAACCAGGCTCTGCAAGGGATATAACATGGTCTCCTCTGTACAGAGTCTCACAAGCAAGTGGGAAGATGAGAGAGCTTCCAGAAAAAAAGACAGTACAAGGCAATGTGGTGAGTCCCTTCGTCCCTGCCCTCAGCCCACGTATTGCAAAAGGAAGTAGCATCTTTATCTAGACAAATCTCTTCTGGGTCTGAGTGTGGCTTTCCATTGGGAGCTATAGAAGTTCTCCCTACTGGGTCTTACGGCCTTTGGAAAGTCATTATCGATGTTTACCAAGATGTAGGGCAATATTTGATAGACTAGAAGTGGCAAGAGTAGAGACTTCCTGGACAAGATAAGTAGCAAACACAGTCCCTTGAATCTGTGGAGGAGATTTTTGCCAGTTGGTTTGTTCTAAAGAAGAGAGAGAATATAATGAAAAATGGTGCTTCCACCTGGCCCGGCACTGTGTCTAAATGCCCCTGACATGTTGGGGGAAAGAGACGGAAGTCAGTACTTTAAAAGGCATGGGCTGTTGAACTGAAGAGGTTCTTCTGTGTTGCGTCCCCAGAGGGTTGCTCCTACGACCACTATGGTCTCTCATAGACTATCGGTCTCTATAGACTATACGGTCTCTTATAGACTATCAGGGAGCATGGGAGTCCTCAAGATCCAGTATTAGAATGAGGCACTCAGAAATGCAATGAGCTGAATATTCATTCAGCCCGCTGCATTTCCTGTTTATTTACTTCACTTCCTTCAGTTGGGCGAAGGACATTTTCACTGCATGCTGTTCATCCCATCCCATGTATATACTGTTTGCATGAGGTTGGATCATACATATTTACATATCATAGACATCTCTTTATTCTTCCAAGGAAAGCTTGATTCCTCTGAATCTGGGAATTGCTTATTTTTTCTTCATCCTATTTGTACATAATCAGTGTTTTTGACACCTAGAAATCCTTAACTTTCCCTGAGTTTTTCAACCTCAGCTTTTACCGGCACTGGTCCCTCCACCGTAATGTCTTCCTCTCCCCATTCCCTTTCTAAATTATCAAAATTAGATGCAGCCTTCAGAGTCCAGCTCAAGCATCACCACCACCATAAAACTTTTCCTTAATCTTAACTGGAAGAAATTTCTCTTATGGTAATAGAGTCATATTAATGTTTGGTATTTTTTATAGTACTTACCACATTCCACCTAAGGTCATAGCTATTTGGTTGGTAATTTGTGCTTTCTCTCCTCTAAACTGTACACGAGGCATTCTAGACAGAAGAGCTTCCAGAGGGCACATCTGGTTCTGCTCACCATGTATCATTAGTGCCTGTCATAGTAGGTGCTCAATAAATATTTGTACAATGATTTAATGGATGACAGGCCTGGCACATAAACACAATAAATATTGAATCAAACGGGAAGTTGGTGTCCAGTTTGCACAATCTTAAACCATAGACTTCTCACTTGCTCGGTTCATTTACCATGCCTGTTTTTTCTTTTCTTTTCTTTTTTTTAATTCTCCCTTCCTCCTCAGTATTTCTTCTAAGACCTTTGAGGTTCCTCTGCTGTGCGTCAGCAGTTGTTTAATTTCTCTTTTATGTTCTAAGGACCTTAACACTATCCAAAAAGTTTAAGAAGTGGCTTTTGTTCATTGAATTGGAATACATAACATCTATCCTTTTGATTTGTTTGGGTTTTATTTCTCATCTTGGAAGAAGTCATGCATATAGATTCCAGAAATATTTCAGAGAAATGAATGCATGAGTTTGAACGTACAGAGCCATGGTTTTGGCCTTAAAGGCATCATAGAGATGATCAAACCCAGTTCCCTCATTTTATCGGAGGCCCAAGGCCTAGAGAGGTGATGTGAGTCTGTGAACTGAGAAGACAAAAGTGCATAGTTGGATCTAGTTTTAGACCCCTTTTAAGGCTCTTCTACGTGTATATTGTGACTTGGTAGATTACTTTATGCAAGCTATTTTTAAAATTGGGAGGCATGAGGAATGGTTAAGAGAGTTGGGTTGGGAATGGGGTTAGGGAAAGGTAGTTGGGAAGAGGGAGTCCCCACCCTATTTTAGCTCTAAAATTTAATGAAACTTCTGCTTCATGCTGCCTGTTCTAGAATAAAAAAGAGTCTGTCCACAGGCCTTTAGCGATAGCTCAGTCTGACAATGTTTACACATTGCATTTTGGCATCTTTTCATGGACAGATTCTACCACCAGTATCCCTAAAGTGAAAATGTCATATACTCCAGCCAAATTTATCAAGAAAAGCCGCAGAAGCTATAGTATTAACATGATGACTAGACAGATCACAGAAAATCTGGGTTCCTTGATAAAACCACATGCCCCCTGCCAAACTTTTATAGAGGTCAGAATCTGGTCTGTTGATATCAGAGTAGAGAGAAAGCTATTTATGCTGCCATTAGCAATAACTTCATTAGATACTTCCATTATAGGGGGGATAAAGAGTGGAATCTAGCCCCTGAAAAGAAAAACAGTGTCTAAGAGGGGAAAGCCTTGGGTTGGTACACTCCTAACCACAGTTCCTTTATTATCTCATAGGATCTTGATTTCCTTACAAAGTAAAGCATTTCTTTCTTAGCTTTCTCTCATAAATATTTCCCATATTTTTCCATTTGAGTTGCAAAGCACATTGACTACAGAATTTAGTGAAATATTGCCAAAGTTAAATCC